GAGCTGCCCTTCTAAGTGTCTCGCCTCTGATGAAAGAGCAAAGCATCTCTTTGTATGTTGCTGAGCAGTAATTAGCTGGCATGTTACAACTGCAAACTAAAGCCTTTGGTTTATGCAAACTATTGGGCTGTGGGTTAATGAAGGTTGGAGGTTTCCATGGGAACATCCAGTACGTGAAAGAAGAGGGTTCTAAGCAGAGTTCCAGGCTTGGAGTCTGCTTCTTATGTGCCTGGCTGAGTTGAGCTAATACGTGAGTGAGGAGACTTCCTCATCTCTGGGAGCTCTGTGTAGCTACATGAGAGTAGAGAGCCCAGTAACTGTGAGTGTTTGGTCCTTCCAGTGCCTCGATGAGGCTGGAGGAGCAGCCATGCCCTGTTTCACAATTGAAAGCTGACACAGAGAGAGCCCAGGTGACTTCTTTGGGATTAAACAGGCAGCACCATCCCTGTGCCAGTGCCACAGTTACATCACAGGGACAAAGTTGTGTCCTGGAGCTCTTTACATGTCACCTAATAGGGATTATTGCATCCTAATAACACAGAATTAGCATTGTGGCCTAGAGGAGCCTCATACCAGAGACATGAGCTGGAGGCACAGAGTAAGGGTGATGTGCCAGTGCCAAAGTTTACTCTGATGGTGTATGTCACTCTATCACCATCCTGGAAGGAAGGAAAAGAAGCATAAAGACTCCTGGAGGATTCTGCCTGGAACTGTGGGGTGGTGCCTACATTAAGTCAAGTGAGATCTCATGTAAGTGACTTGCTGTGCAATGTTCATCAAAGTGAGAGCTCAGTAGGAACTAAACAGGGCTGGAGGAGCATCCAAATGGTTCTGGGGTGTGAAAAGTGCATTGTACTGAGGGGTTTTCATGCTGTGAGGATGCCCACGTGAAGCTTTTGCATAGCAGCTTCATTTCCATGTTTCACCAGTTCTTCTCTCCTGTGCCACAGTCATAGAGTCAAGAGTTCCAGAGAATGGGGAATGGTCTCCTGCATGCAGCTCCTCCTTCGGTGGCTGGGAGGCTCATACTCGTGGTATCGGCTCCAAGCTGCTTGTTCAGATGGGATACGAGTTTGGGAAAGGTAAGGGAGAAAGAAGGGGGTCCTGGTGCTGCAAGAGCCTGTCTGCCTCCATGGTTCCTAAAGCTAGATACGAAAACCAAGGTTTTGGGTGAAGCTAAATCTTCCCTGTGCTGAAGATAAGAGAGGAGGCTGGAGCTGGGTGAGGAATCACGGCTGTGTTGGGAGGCAAGAAGGGATAACTCGGTTAATGGAAGTAGAGGCTCCTGTGTGCACCAGCCCCTCTATGGTAATAACAGAAATTGGAGGCATTTGGAACCATGGTCAAGTTGATGATTAAAGCCGTGAGAGCTGTTGTGTGAGATGTTCAAAGGCTTTAGGTGGAAGGGAACTGATCTGTGATGCTTCTGATGTCTGTGTTAAAGCATCTCCTGGCTCTAGACACAGACTTCAAAGCCTGCTCAACCAGCTTCTCACTACACAAATTGCATTGAGCCTTGGGGGCTTTGGGAGGGCAGTCTGCTGCTTGCAGTTGGCTCTGCTCCTCCCAGAGGAACCAAACCAGTTTGAAGAAGAAGCTGACTTGAGAAGCTGAGAACATGGGGCTGAATCTGGTTTGACAGAAACCAGCCTGACTGATGGCCTCGGGTGCCTCATCACATCCTCTGCTGTCAAAGGCTCCTTTCATAGTGTCTGCATCCACTGTGCTGCTCCCCTTCACTTGGATGCTGGTTACAGCTCCTTGTGCCTGCTGAGTTGGTCCAAGCTTGTGACTGTCAGTGTGAGCTCGAGGTGGGAGGTGGCTCGGAGAGGGGATGTCCTCACCCACTGCAATGCCTTGGTGTCTCCTCAGGGTTAGGGAAGAACTCTCAGGGCCGAGTGGAGCCCGTGCAGGCCGTGGTGCTGCCTCGAGGGAAGTCCCTTGACCAGTGTGCAGAGGTGCTGCAGAGGAGGAAGCAGGGGAAGCTGGACCCAGGCAAATCCAGGAAGTGCCAAGCTAAGGGAAGCAGCCGGAAGCCTTCCCACAACGTGTTTGACTTCCTGAATGAGAAGCTGCGAGGGAAGAGCTCGGGGGAGAAGGCTGGAGGGATGGCAGTGCCCAGGAGGACCAGCAAAGAGATCTACCATGCCAGCAAGAGCACCAGGAAAGAGCTGAGTGTCCGCCTCCTCCAGACAGTGGAGAAGATCGAGCAAACACAGAGGGATATCATAGGAATCCAGCAGGCCCTGGAACGCAACATTGGGAGGTAGGAAAACAGCCTCTTTGGGACTGAGAAGTCTGGGGCTGCTGGGGGAAGGTATAGGAGGAATAAGGGATGAGGCTTGAGATGAGGTATAGGAGGAATAAGTGACGTGTGTGGATGAGATCTAAGGGGAAGAGGAGGAGAGAGACTTTAGCGTGTGCTTCAGACCAGCTTGGACACTGGCAGTGTGTCTGGGCTCCTTTGGCTGGTATTGAGGCTGTGGTGAGGAGAAGAAAGATGCTGAAGTCTTTCCTTCTCATTCCCACCTCTGCCATGCTGTTGAGCATCACAGGAGGATGTTTTCTAGCCCAGGTTGTGCTGAGCATCAGGTTCTTCCTGGCTTTCAGCAGGTCGCTTGTGCAAATCCCACAGGAAAGGGCAAGCCCTCCTTGGGATGATGACAAGCCTTTGATCTTACCCATGCAGGATGACTTTGCCATTATGTTTTTCGCTTCTAGGCACAGCGTTGCTACAGCTCAGCTGAAGGAGAAGCTGGCTAATGCCCACAGACAGCTGGGGCAGCTGCAGGCCCAGGAAGCCAGTCTGCAGCAGGAGCAGAAGAAAGCAGACACACACAAGAAGATGACTCAGTTCTAGTCTCTCCGAGAGGTGTTTGACTGCAGTGATTGTCCATCCATCCAGCCAGCCTTGGTGTTCACAGCCTCAGAACCTGGGGGAGCCCTCCTGCTCCTCCGGGCCTCAGGCTGCCCAGCCTGGGAAATGGGCTGAAAAGCAGTCATTCCTAACCCCAGATGGCTCTGAGCATTGCTGGGAAGGGGGGGAGCACACATCCTGGAAGCAGTCAGTGGGCCTGAGCCTTCTATAAGGGCTGGCCACAAGGAACACGATTCTCTGCTCTCATGCACACTTCTTCCCTTTGCTGTCACTACAGAGGCTGTAGCTCCTCAGATGGTAACGTTGCTGGCTCCACACCAGCTGAGGAGGGGCTTTGAAAGCCCCACATCCTGCGTCAGCTGTGGCTTGTGTTGGCAGCCAACTGACAAACACAGAGCAGAGGCAGGGTCCCAAAGCAGAGCAGGGTGGAAACAACAAAGGCCAACAATGGCTTCAGCTGCTCTCTGCCTTGTAGGTTCTGCCACGGGATTCGGCTGAGAGCACAGGTTTGGGGGGAGCAGCTCCTTGTGGCCTCTGTAATGAGCAGACAGAAAACTGGCAGCTTGGAGGTGGGCTCTCATTGCCTCAGGCTTCAGATTTCATCTGTTTGGGTGTAAGAGTATCCCAGGACATGCTGTAGCCTCATTGACTTGGCATGGGAAGCCACGTGGTTCCACACGTGGAGTGCCAAAGCTGGCAGGGGTAAGAGCAGAGTAACAGAGCTTCAGTCCTCCCAGTTCTGTCCCAAGCAGCTCGCTGGACACAGGTCCTTAAACCCTCAGGACCCGGATCCAGCCCCTGGCTGAGCACTGGGATGGGTCTGTGCGATGCAGCCCTGTCTGTGGCAGAGCTTCAGGCCGGGCTGGAGGCAGGTGGAGCAAGCAAAGTGCCCTTCCCTGCAGCGTGGACAGGCTGCACAGGAAGGCTCTTCCCCAGGTTGTATTGTGCACTGGGGGCAGCCAGTCCTTGCCCCAGAGGAGATGGTGGCTTCATCAGGCTGTTTCTGATGGGCCTGGTGCAGTGGAATTGCTTTTAGATGAAATAAATGTTTTCCATTTCCTGCCAGTATCTTAAGGATCATTTTATTCCTTCATTTAAGGGACCCATTTCCTTTTACTCCGTGAGTCGTTTTTCTGATGGGAACTTTTGCTCCTTTGGTACCACCTTCTCTGCCTGTTGTAAAGGTGTCAGCTTGGCCAGGCCTGCACCCAACCGCCTGCCAAACCCACCAGGAAGGCTGAGGCTCAAGAGAAGGGATTGGAGTTGTGGGATCCAGCGTTGCTGCAGGCACCCCTTGGGTGTGAACAAGAGGAGCATCTTCAGGGAGCCTCTGAGTGACTTTTTCCCTCTGCAGAGCTCTTGGATCCTGCTGTGATGGACTCTGCTGATGGGAAAGGTGCTGTGGGCTGCCCTGAGTCATCAGCATCAGTCTGTATTGGCTGTATTACCTTCATTGTGCTGAACTTGGGTTCTCTGCACTGAGCTTAAGGGTTTAACAAGGGTTGCTCAGTGCCTTGCCTTACAAGTGACTGTTTCCCACACTCGAGTGGTATTAATGTGCCTGGCTTAGCATCAGTGCGCACTGAGGGGCAGAGAAACTCCTTGGGCCTGTTTTGTGCTCTGACACTATTTAACATCACCACCTCCTTCAGAACCATCAGCCCTGAGTCGTGGTTTGACCCTTCCTTGGGATTTCCACAGCCTTCCTTACCCCAGTCCTGTTGGAACGGCTGCTGCCTCCCTCCCAGGGCAGTTCCCATCCCTGTGGAATAAAGCTGGGGTTTATTTGATCCCTCTCATTGCAAGGCAGTGTTCATTTGCAAGGTAATGCTCATCTCTGGTGACCCATCCTTTCCCTTCCATTGCCTGGGGATGGAGGGCTGGGACTCAAACCAGCCCGGTGGGAAGCAGAGGGTGCTCTTGCAGAGCCCGTCCCTGGGTGCTGCTGGCAGCCAGGGCGGGGAGAAAGCAGCCTCCCATTGGGTGCAGCAGCCCAGGAAGCTGTGGTGTGCGCTGCATGGTATCTGCTCGGAGCCATCTGCTCTGGAAGGAGCTGAAGAGGAGCAGAGAGCTCCCATCGGGATGCTCAAACTGTTGGGGAGCCCCTCATAAGGAATAACGTTGGGATAAAAGCAGCCAAATCCTGCAGGTTGGTGCAAAGGGGAGAGCACGATGGGATCCCTGCCCTTCACAGTCACCAGCCTTTGAGTCTCTGCAAGGTGAGTGGTGGTTTTCTTGCCTCATGAACTTGAGTCTGCAACTAAAGCAGGGGCTGGAAAGTCCTTTAGAACCACCCGATGTAATGGGAACTGCAGCGCTGTTGGAGATGCTGTTGCAGCACCATTGATGGGACAGGCAGGATCCCTGCTCTGCAGCAGGGGTGAACCCAGGCTGTGAGGAGGGCTGGAAGCTTTGTGCTGCTCCATGCTTTGTGCTCGGGAAGCATCTGGGCTTAGGAAGCAAAGGAGCTGGAGCTCTGCCCTGCTGGGTCTTGAGGCTGGAGGTTGAGTGGGAGCTGGTGCCTTCCATGGGGGATTGGTGATGCAGAGGTGTGGGGAGTCAGGTTCTGCACTGGTTGTCTTGGGAGGGTTGTGCTTGTGTGGGGATGGCTCTTGGGGACCGCTGGCTGGAGAGAGCATGGGCATTGGAACCTAAAATGATGTGAAACGGCTGAGTTTTGTGGCAAGAAACCCACCGTGGTGCTGTGATTCCCTGTGCCTGTCCCCATCATCCACCCAGCCCGTGCTTGGGCTCTGGCTCCTGCCGCCCCCAGGTCCCTGCTGCAGCTCAGCTCTGCAGGAAACCTCTCGAGCAGGTTCTCAGCTTCGTTCTGCCCCAGTGAGTGCGGAAGGGAGGAGGGAAGGAAGGTGCTGAACCGGTGTCACCTCGAGCAGAGCGGGGGGGCACCCGCCTTCAGGCTTTGAAACAGCGCTTCACAGCATCCCACATGGGTTGGGTTGAAGGGACCTTAAAGCTCCCCCAGCCTAAGCCACGGGCAGGGACCCCTTCCACTGGGGCAGCTTGCTCCGGTCCCCATCAATGGTTCAATGGTGCCTGTTACGGGGCTTTCCTTTTTCATACTTGAAAGTAAAAGCACTTCTGCTTCCTGGCGCCCTTCTCAGTGCAGCTCCCCAGGGTCCCCGAGCTGGGTTTGCTGCAGCCCCGCTCGCAGGCACTGATGGCAGTCGGTTTCTGATGTTTGCCCTGGTTCCTTGCCCGTGCTCTGTTAGGAGCCACAGAGCCCTTCTTGTCATCACCATGCACTGAGCATGGGGTGGATGAACCCAAGGCCCAGCAGAAGCAGCTGCTCTCTGTTTCCACCATCAATGCAACCCTGGTGTCGTGAAGGCCAGGAGGGACCCTGGGGTCTTGTAGCAGCCACGTCCTGGAGGAGGAAACCTCCTGCATTGGTGCTGCGGGTGCTGGGTGCTCCCTGCAGGGAGTTGCTCCTGCTCGGAGCCTCCGGGTGAGCATCACCCATGCATGGGCTGCGACTGCTCTCGTCTTCAGAGCCTTGTGGAGGGAGCCTTGCAGAGCCCTGCCATGGGGAGATCAATAACTCCATTGGGTGTGCATTGGGCTGGGGGAGACATCACACTGTGACCTGCTCCATCCCACCGGGGCCAGGCGCTGCGTTCTCCTCCCACGTTCCTCACTTTGGGAGGACCAATGCGTTGGCCCAAGAAGCAGCATCCCCAGGGACCCAACACAGGCCAGAACCACAACAGAAAGTAGGGCAGGAGCAGCCTCTGTTAATGTCAACCGAGGCAGCTTCTCCATCCCTCAACCTTAAACGCGCCCGCTGTGAGATGTACTGCCCCATCTGTGCCTGTTAAAGCTCCCACTTCCATCCTGGCACAGCCCCATGGACCCTGCTTTGAGTGGTGCCTGCTGACCCTGCACAGCTCAGCCCCGAGCTCAGCCCTCAATGAGCTCAACGAGCCGGGCCGGGGCTGTGCCAAGCGATGCCAGCGTGGCCGGTACTCCCTGTCCTCCGTGTGCCGGGCAGGGAAGCGCTGCTGCCGGATTGAAACCGCACCAGGGAGGGATGCTCCCTTCCCGGCTCTGATCCCAGCCGGTCCATCCAGCCCCGGCAGTCCCCAAACCCTGCCTCGCTCTCCAGGGGTTAAAGCTGCAGCCAGGGACGTGCCCCAAGGCGTGGGAAGGGCTCGGATAAAAGGGTGCTTGAGTGGGGAGGGCCTTGCTGGTGTGGGGTGAAGGTGGGATGAGGATGCTGTGGGGTGATGCAGGGGGCAGGGGAGCCATTGGTGCCTCCATGGGGATGCTGCAGCACCACAGAGGCACCCGGGGCAGGGGGGCTCCTCAGACATGTAAGGGGGTGAGTAAGAGGTGCCCCATGGCATCCCCATGTCCCCACCTCCACTGGTGGAAGCCGCTCGGATCTCCCAGCCCCATCTTACCTGGGGACTCGGGATCAGCTCCTGAGGCTTCTTCCAGCCGTGCTTTACCCCAGCGCTGGGAACTGCCCTCATTTCCCTCTGGATCAGGCAGTTCCCAGCCGCTGGCACCCACATCTCCAGCACCAGGCCAGCCCGTTTGGGGTGCAGGACATGCACGGGGCTGCGCTTGCGCAGAGCGGGGAGCAGCGGCCGTTGGCGCAGGTGACGCGGGGGCAGCTTCTGCTTTGGGGTTGCTGATGGCTCAGCAGGGACAGGGAGGATGGGATGGGATGGGATGGGATGGGATCTCACCATAGGAAAGCTATGGGATGCTGATGGGGTGGGGAGCTTCTGCTCTTGGTCTCAGGCTCCCCAGAACCGTTGTTGCTCTGCGCTGCTTGCTTTGGCCTTGCTTCTGCTTCGGTTTGCAGGAGGGGACCCATTCCCTTGGATAAGGGACAGGGAAGAGAGCCGGGGTTGGGCAGGGCACGGCTTTTCCTACAGGAAGAGGAAGGTGGTCGGGGCCTGGCATCCCCTGTGTGATGCTGGTGGAGGAGGCTTGGGGTCCGCATGTGCCCAAGAGCCCCCATGGCTGGGTCAGTGCTTGGGGGCGATCCTGCACCTCCTGCAGCCCCCGGGGACCCCTCTGGTCTCATGTCAGGGATTGATGGGGCTGAATCCCACCGGGCTTGGAGGGGGGGACCTGGGGATGGGGAGGGTGAAGCTGGCCCCGCTTCCGGGAAGCTGACTCATCTGTTTGCTGCTCCTGTCGGGGCCAGCCCATCCCCGTGTCCCCACACAGCCCCTGGCTACTTTGGGGGTGCCCCACAGGGGTTTGGGGGCCCCGTTTCCACATCTATGGCCACTCAGGAGCTTGAGTGTTGTTGGGGTGGTTTGCAAGCGGTGACCCCAACCTCTGGTGTTTCTCGGGGTGAAGCAGGGGAGGGCAGTGACTGGTATGAAAATGGGGGTCCCTGGGCACGTCCCCCCGCTCCGGAGCATCCCCCTGCAATGGGGCAGCGCTGCGGGGCCCTGCAGCACCACCCCCGGCCCTGCTGACCCCGCTTCCACCCCACTCCTGTGTTCTGTCCGCAGAGCTCGGCCCCACGGCGCTGCTGGAAGCGGCTGCCCCATGGCTGCAGCGGGGGGCGAGGGGCCGGGGGGGACCCCACTGCTGCCAGCGGGCGCTGCCCTGGCCCTGCTCGGTGCCCTGGTCTACCTGGGGGCCCTGTGTGCTGCCTGCAGACGGTAGGTGCTGCCCGCGGCCCCTCTGCCCTCCCTGCTGGGCATGGGGACCCCTCCATGGCCTTTGGGGGTGCACGGAGAGACCCCATTGGTGCCTGTCCTGAGCTGGGACCATGGGGATCTGCTGCTCCATTTGCCCTGAGCGCAGCCCCAGTGCAGCTCCGCCTGCCCTGATCCTGCACCCCTGTGACCCCCCTGGTACCCCCCCTGCACCCAAAGGGCTCTCAGGAGCAGCCCGGAGAGGGCTGAGGTGTGAGCGGGATGGGCCTGGTGATGCCAGGGGTGCCCCCATGGCTTGGTGGGATGCAGGATGCGATCAACACCTCCCCAGCCAACAGGGACCCTGCTGAGGGGCTGCTGATGGAGCAGTGCGGCTGCCCCAGTGAGGAGCACCCGGTGATGCCCATCATGGCCAGGGCCGGGTCTTTGGGCCCCCAGCCCCATGCTCAGCCCCGTTCCCCCCCCCCGCAGCAAGGGCAGGAAGAAGCAGCTCCCTCCGGACGGGGTGAAGCTGGTGGATGAGGTAAGCAGGAGCTGGGGCAGCCGGATGAGCCCTGGGGGTGCTGCGGGGGCCCCCATCTCCCCAACCTGGTGCTGAGGGTCCGTGTCCCCCCTGCAGTCGCTGCTCAGGCAGACGCAGCTGCGGTCCCTCAGCAAGTCAGACACGAAGCTCCACGAGCTCTACCGGGTGAAGGCTGGGGATGATGGTGAGTGAGTGCCCATGGGGTCCACTGTGCACTGGGCAGCATCCCCCCCCCACCTTCCCCGAGGGCTCGGTCCCTGCTCCATCCCCATCTCCCATCCCCGCAGCCCGGGTGAAGGCCGGGGATGATGGTGAGTGCCCATGGGGACCGCTGCGCACCGGGGCAGCAGCATCCCCCCCCCCTCACCGAGGGCTCGGTCCCTGCTCCATCCCCATCTCCCATCCCCACAGCCCGGGTGAAGGCCGGGATGATGGTGAGTGCCCATGGGGACCGCTGCGCACCGGGCAGCATCCCCCCCCCCTCACCGAGGGCTCGGTCCCTGCTCCATCCCCATCTCCCATCCCCACAGCCCGGGTGAAGGCCGGGGATGATGGTGAGTGCCCATGGGGACCGCTGCGCACCGGGCAGCATCCCCCCCCCTCACCGAGGGCTCGGTCCCTGCTCCATCCCCATCTCCCATCCCCGCAGCCCGGGTGAAGGCCGGGGATGATGGTGAGTGCCCATGGGGACCGCTGCGCACCGGGCAGCATCCCTCCCTCTCCTCCCTTCCCCGAGGGCTCGGTCCCTGCTCCATCCCCATCTCCCATCCCCACAGCCCGGGTGAAGGCCGGGGATGATGGTGAGTGAGTGCCCATGGGGTCCACTGTGCACCGGGCAGCATCCCACCCCCCCCCCTCACCGAGGGCTCGGTCCCTGCTCCATCCCCATCTCCCATCCCCACAGCCCAGCGCCCGGCCAGCCTGGACCTCAGCACCCCCGCTCCCGCTGACCCCCAGCACGGTGCCGGCCTCCTCCTGCACCGGGAGCTGCCGCAGATCCCGGTCCCCGAGCCCCCGGCCCCGGACCAGACCTACTCCAACCTCCTCTTCCCCCCGCGCCGGCGCCCGCTGCCCGACTCCGTCTACGAGTGCGTGGCCACGGGGGGAGAGGAGCCCCCGGTGTCCCCCCCCCGGGCTGTGCAGGGGGCGGCCGATTACGCCTGCGTGCGCAAGGTGAAGAAGGGGGTGCCCGTGGAGGTGCAGGATGCGGCCGCAGCCGGGGGGCCCCCCCAGGCACTGCAGTGCTGGGGTGGCTCAGGAGGTGCCCCCCAGGTGAAGGTACGGCTTTGGGGGTGGCAGGGATGGGGTTTCGTGGGGGAGAGCATCACACCCTGCATCCCTGGGGTGCCCGTGTCGGGCGGAGCATCCCAACCTAGTGCAAACTGGGCTACGGCACTGGAGCACTGGTACCAATGGAGGTTTTCGGGGTCAGGATGAAGCCAAGACCCCAGTCACAGGTGATGCTGTTCTCTGTGTCCTGCACAACGCTCCCTGTGTTCGGTACAAAGGGGATCCCCAACGGTTGATCTGTTGTCAGCATCCTCCTGGGATAGGGAAGCTGGGAGGGGGGCACGGGCCTGGGGATACCCCAGTGGGCCGGGATTGCCCCCAGCCTTCCAATATCTGAAGGGGGCTACAAGGATGCTGGAGAGGGCCCTTCATGAGGGGCTGGAGCAGCAGGACAAGGGGTGATGGGTTCAGACTGAAACAGGGGGAGTTCATGTTGGAGATAAGGAGGAAGTTCTTTATTGTGAGGGTGCTGAGGCGCTGGCACAGGGTGCCCAGAGAAGCTGTGGCTGCCCCATCCCTGGCAGTGCTCAAGGCCAGGTTGGACACAGGGGCTTGGAGCAAGCTGCTCCAGTGGAAGGGGTCCCTGCCCATGGCAGGGGTTGGAGCTGGAGGAGCTTTAAGGTCCCTTCCACCCAACCCATTGAGTGATGCCTTGGTTCCTTCGCAGCTGGAAGAGATGTACTCCACCGTCTGCAAAGCTACCAAGAAGAAAACCCAGGTCCCTGCATCGCCCTCGAGGGAGGAGGGAGCCCAGGCCCGGTCCTGGTCCCTGGCAGCCCATGGCTCCCTGGACCCCTGCTATGAGTCCATCAACGACAGAGCCTGGACCCCTCAGGGCCGCGGCCCCGACCCGGACTATGAGGCTGTGGATGTCAACTGGAAGAGGGCGGCGAAGCGGGACAAGGCCCCTGAGAACCTGTATGAGAGCGTTGGGGACATCTGGGCGGGGGGGTCCCAAAGAGCAGCGGCCAGGATAGCACCCAATGGCCTGGAGGTGTACATCACCAACCTATAGCACCCCAGGGTGCTCCCACCGTGGTGGGCTCCCATGGGACCGGCTTTCCCAGGGGGTTGAACTGGGATTGGGATGGGCACACTTGAACCCGTGCCCGCTGGGGTGGCTGCATCCCCACAATGGCTTTCTGTATGTATTTTATATTCCTTTAAGCATCCTTGTCCCATCGCGACCCAGGTTGATGTTGGGTGCCCTGAGATGGGTGGTTTGGGGGTGCTGGGTGCCACATGGAGCCCGGTGGGATGGGGATGGTGCTGCCACCACAATGGGAATGGGGTTGGGACCAGTTGTGGTGGGGGGGGTCAGCCCTGTGGCTCTGTGCTGCAGGATCAGGCCCTTCATCACTTGGGTTGTGCAGTGAGTGAGGGTCTCCATTGTCCTCCCTCTGCCTTGGAGGGAGCAGGGCCCCATCCAGCCCCCAGGAAGCCCTGAGCAGCTTCACTCCCATCACTGAACATCCCTGGTTATGGGGACCAGGGGCCAGCCCTGTGCCTCGGGGCAGAGCAGGCTTGTCCCTGTCACCCATTCCCACCTTATGGCTCTGTACAAGAGTGAGGTAGCTCCGGAAGTTGCCATCTCCCAAACACCATTAAAAGGCTGAGACGGGGTTATCTGTGTCAGGAAAAAACCCTTAAACTGGATCTAAACCCCTGTTCTGGTGGGTGCTGGTGCTGGGGGAGCAGCTTTGGGCACAGCGTGGCTGTGAACGGGTGCGCCCGCCAGCCCGGATGGGGATGCGCAGCACCAAGAGCTGCCAAAACCAGCTCTGGGGCTCTGCTCAGTGCTGCAGCTGGGGACCATTAACACAGCGCTCACCTCCCATGGGTGCTGCAGCCTCAGCCCATGCCAGACGTGTTCTGTAGAGATGGATGTGTACCCAGAGGTCTTTGACACCCCCCCCAGTGCTCAACCTTTCCTCCTCTCTTCCCCACAACAAGTTTAGGATCCCTTCCCCATGGCAAGTTCAGCATCCCTTCCCCATAGTGATTTTAGCATCCCTTCCCCATAGTGAGTTTAGCATCCCTTCCCCATGGCAAGTTTAGCATCCCTTCCCCATAGCGAGTTCAGCATCCCTTCCCCACAGCGAGTTCAGCATCCCTTCCCCATAGCGAGTTTAGCATCCCTTCCCCAAGGGATGCCCTGTATCCCCGAGGCGATGCTCTGACGATGGTCCCACTCTGACCATGGTCCCACGGTGCTGTAGCCCAACTGCTTTACAACCATCTGACCTCATCACACTGGTACTCGCTGGGGCTGGCTGGGACCTGTGGCAGCAGAACCACCGTGACGTAGCATGCTGTAGCATGCTGTGCCATGCTGTACCATGCTGTACCATGCTGTACCGTGCTGTACCGTGCTGTACCATGCTGTACCATGCTGTACCGTGCTGTACCATGCTGTACCATGCTGTACCATGCTGGGCCATGCTGTGCCATGCTGTGCCATGCTGTACCATGCTGTGCCGTGCTGTACCGTGCTGTGCCATGCTGTACCATGCTGTGTCATGCTGTACCATGCTGTACCGTGCTGGGCCGTGCTGTACCATGCTGTACCGTGCTGGGCCGTGCTGTGCCATGCTGTGCCATGCTGTACCGTGCTGGGCCGTGCTGTACCATGCTGGGCCGTGCTGTACCGTGCTGTACCATGCTGTGCCATGCTGTACCGTGCTGTACCATGCTGTACCGTGCTGTACCGTGCTGTACCATGCTGTGCCATGCTTGTACCATGCTGTGCCATGCTGTGCCATGCTGTACCATGCTGTACCGTGCTGTACCGTGCTGTACCGTGCTGGGCCGTGCCCTGCAGCAGGCAGGAAGCCGCTTTGCCCTCACATCGCAGAGATTAAGCACAAGCCCGAGGCTCTGGCAGCCCCCGCTGCAGACGTTGGAGCCGGCGGCGGTGCCAAACCACAGGCGCTGGGGTGCAGGGCCCGGCCCCGGCGCTGCTCGCAGCCGCTGCCAGATCAGGGCACTGATAGAGCCTGCGTGCGGCACCCGCTGCGATGCTGCCGCCTCTTCCTGCCCTCACCGCCGCGTGGGCTCCCCCGGCTGCATCCGTCCCCTGCTCCCCGTCTCCATGGTCCCATCCCGCAGCTCCTGAGGGCCCCTGCACTGTCTGAATCCCATGGGAGTTGTGTTTGAGCTGCACCAGCCCTGAGCACCCCGGGACAGGATGGGCCCTGTGGTGATGGTGGGGTTGGATGTGGGTACCACTGTGCTGCTGCACCAGGGTTAGGCGGGCTGCACGGCATCAGGCTGCATCCAGGGTGGGGAAAGCTGCTGCTAAAGCATCTCCCAAAGCCACCCCAACAGAGGTAAAGCCCCATGGGCAGGGCTGCCTGCTTGTCTGTAATTCATGGGGTTAGGGACAGCCAGACCCACATTCACATCAGAGACCAACTGCCCCGTCCTTGGGGGATGGAAACCGTGTCCAGAGCCCTAGAACGAGGCTCAAAGCCTGGGGGGTGAATGAAGGATCCATCCCGAAACATCACCTGGAGTCTCATGGTCTGGCTGGGAAGGTCAGGGTTGGGTGGGCTGGGAGCATCCCTCTGTATCCTGATCCTGCAGGATCCCTGTCATGGTACAAGGGGACGGTACTGCAAGGGGATGGTTCTATAAGGGGACGGTGCTGCGAGGGGATGGTTCTATAAGGGGACGGTGCTGTGAGGGGATGGTTCTATAAGGGGACGGTGCTGCAAAGGGATGGTTCTATAAGGGGACGGTTCTGTAAGGGGATGGTTCTATAAGGGGACGGTGCTGTGAGGGGATGGTTCTATAAGGGGACGGTGCTGCGAGGGGATGGTTCTATAAGGGGACGGTGCTGCGAGGGGATGGTTCTATAAGGGGACGGTGCTGCGAGGGGATGGTTCTATAAGGGGACGGTGCTGTGAGGGGATGGTTCTATAAGGGGACGGTGCTGCGAGGGGATGGTTCTATAAGGGGACGGTGCTGCGGGGATGGTTCTATATGGGGACGGTCAAGGGGATGGTTCTATAAGGGGACGGTGCTGCAAGGGGATGGTTCTATAAGGGGACGGTGCTGCAAGGGGATGGTTCTATAAGGGGACAGTGCTGCAAGGGGATGGTTCTATAAGGGGACGGTGCTGCAAGGGGATGGTTCTATAAGGGGATGGTGCTGCAAGGGGATGGTTCTATAAGGGGACAGTGCTGTGAGGGGATGGTTCTATAAGGGGACGGTGCTGCAAGGGGATGGTTCTATATGGGGACGGTGCTGCGAGGGGATGGTTCTATAAGGGGACGGTGCTGCAAGGGGATGGTTCTATGAGGAGAAGGTGCTGTGAGGGGACAGTGCTACAAGGGGATGGTTCTATAAGGGGACGGTGCTGCAAGGGGATGGTTCTATAAGGGGACGGTGCTGCAAGGGAATGGTTCTATGAGGAGAAGGTGCTGTGAGGGGACAGTGCTACAAGGGGATGGTTCTATAAGGGGACGGTGCTGCAGGGGGATGGTTCTATAAGGGGACGGTGCTGTAAGGGGATGGTTCTATAAGGGGATGGTGCTGCGAGGGGATGGTTTTATAAGGGGACAGTGCTGCAAGGGGATGGTTCTATAAGGGGACGGTGCTGCAAAGGGATGGTTCTATAAGGGGACGGTGCTACAAGGGGATGGTTCTATAAGGGGATGGCGCTGCGAGGGGATGGTTATATAAGGGGACAGTGCTGCAAGGGGATGGTTCTATAAGGGGACGGTGCTGCAAAGGGATGGTTCTATAAGGGGACGGTTCTGTAAGGGGATGGTTCTATAAGGGGATGGTGCTGCGAGGGGATGGTTCTATAAGGGGACGGTGCTACAAGGGGATGGTTCTATGAGGGGAAGGTGCTGTGAGGGGACAGTGCTACAGGGGGGTGGTTCCATAAGGGGACGGTGCTGTGAGGGGACAGTGCTACAAGGGGATGGTTCTATAAGGGGATGGTGCTGCAAGGGGATGGTTCTATGAGGGGAAGGTGCTGTGAGGGGACAGTGCTACAGGGGGTGGCTCTCTGAGAGTGGGTGCTGCACGGTGCCATTCCCGCAAGGGGGAGCGAGCAGGAGCCCAGCGTACCCTGCACGGTGGCACACGCCGTGCGGTGCTGCGCTCTGCAGGGGGGTGCGCGGTGCTGCACCGGGCTGTGTGCTGTAGGGATCTCCATCCCTCATATGGCTCTGCACACTGTGCATGGCAGCACCCAAACCAGGTCCACATCCATACAGCTCCATATACGAATGGCTTCAGACCCCACAGTGCCCTACCCCACGTGTCTTCACACCCCACATGTCCCTATCCCCCCTCCTGCTCCATTCCCCATAAGCAGGCAAGGGGACACCGGCAGCATGGGCAAGGCCCCGTCCCCATTGGCAGCACCAATCGGGATGCAGCCAGGGCATGTGGGTACCACAAGCGCATCCCTGGGGATGCCGGAGCCGCGCTGCCCGGGGATGGGGTCTGGCCGGTGGCACCGGAGCCCTTGTGCAATGGGCGATGATGCTCGGTGCTCGCAGGGGTTGCACAAGAGCGGAGCCAGCTCAGCGCTTCGGTGTTAACGATTAAACCAGAGCCCAGGAGCCACCACCGCGTCCCAGCACGGCTGCTTGTCACAACCAGGAGGGACGGGACAACCAGAGCCTTGTGCCTGCCCCGGGGCTCCCTCAGCACCTCCATTGGGGTCCATTAACCAGAGCCAAAGGATGGGGGATGAAGGCTGCTCCTCTGTGCTCCCGGGGCAGGGTCGGGCCCCCATGGGTACCGCGGGTGCTGCAGATGCTGCCCCTCATCCGGACACCCCGGGGGTTCCCTGGGCCGGGAACTTCGGGTTTTCCCTGCTTGTGGCTCTTATTCCCGCTATGAAAGCACCAGGGAGCAGGGCGGAGGGGGCGCCTCCGGCACCCCGAGGGCAGGGACAAGGGGGGGGCAAGAGCCACGAGACCCCTGCCCCGCTGCCGCACCGGGGATGCAGCCCCCCCCCATGGCCTCGGGCTGATGGGACGGGCTGGGACGGGCTGGGACGGGCTGGGACGGGCTGGGGCCAGCGGCTGGGGGAGCCGCATGGACTCTGTCCCGGCCTTCGGGCTGCGGGGGGGTCAAACAGCAGCGGGGCCACAGGGGGGGATCTGAGCACGGGTGGGTGCCGGGTATGGACCCCCCTGCACCCCGGTACCCCCTGCACCCCGGTACCCCATGCACCCCTATGCACCCCATGCACCTCTATGCACCCCATGCACCCCCGTAACCCATGCACCCCATGCACCCGTGCACCCCATGTACCCCATGCACCCCATGTACCCCATGCACCCCATGTACCCCATGCACCCCATGCACCCCATGTACCCCATGCACCCCATGCACCCCATGCACCCCATGTACCCCATGTACCCCATGCACCCCATGCACCCCATGCACCCCATGCACCCCATGTACCCCATGTACCCCATGCACCCCATGCACCCCATGCACCCCATGCACCCCATGCACCCCGGTACCCCATGCACCCCCTGCACCCGTGCACCCCTATGTACCCCATGCACCCCAATATCCCCCAGGTACCCATGGCACCCTGTGCATCCTGGTACCCCCTGCACCCCTATGTACCCCATGCACCCCTATGTACCCCATGCACCCCAATATCCCCCATGTACCCACGGCACCCTGTGCACGCTGGGAGCTCCATGCACCCTGGTACCCCGTGCACCCCACGCCCCCAGGGCACCCCAAACCCAGCCCTGCCGTTTAGGGTGGGTTTTGGCAGCTTGCTTTCCTGTTGGACAGAACCGACCCAACCCTGCAGGCCCGGAAACCCCTTTCCCGCTGGGAACCGCTCTTGCACCCCGAAATAGAGACGATTCCCCCCTCCAGCAGACACCGTAAGTTCTGGGGGAGCATATAGCTCATATGGAGCCCTACAGCCAACTGCAGTGGGTATAAACCTTTAGGGGGGTCCCCTATAACTTTCGGGGTGCGTAACCTTGTGTGAACCCCATAACTTGCGGCCAACCCCTCTAATTTATCAGGAGCCCTATGATTTGGGGGAGCACACCCCCCCCCATAACCCCTTCAGTTTCAACCCCATAACTTGGACAGAGCCCTAGGAGTTTTATGGTGCCCTCCAGGCTGACGGGAGCCCCGAGATTTCTGGGGGGGGCGGCTTATTTGGGTTAAAATCAGGACTTTTTGGGGTCATCTTGTAACTTTTCGGGACTTTGGAGGTAGGGGGGCCGGGATCGGGTTCATGGGGTCCGGTCCCAGCACGAAGTGGGGGGAGAGGAGGTGTTTGGGGGGGGTGTTGGGGGAGGGGGGGTCGGGTTTTGGGGTGCCCCCCCCCGGGGTTGAGCGCGCGCGCCGGCAGGAGGGCGGGGCGCGCGAAGATGGCCGCTGCGCCGGGGGCGTGCCTGGGGCGGGGCCGGGGGGGCGTGTCCCGGCGCGCCAATTGACATCTCGAAAGACCCAATCAGAAGCGGCCGAGCGGCTGCGGCGGGGTCGAGCTGACCAATAGCGAGGAGCTCGGTGGGCGTGGCCTGAGCCGGCGCCGACACCGGGCCAGCGCTCCCCGGGGCCGGGCCGCGGCCGCCGGTGCTGCCGCCGCTTCCCCGCATGGAGCCCCCTCGCGCGGTCCTAGCGCCCGCCGCCCGGCGCCGCCGCCGAGAGCCTCCCGCTCTGCCCCTGCCCGAGCCCGGCGGAGGCGGCGCCGCCCCGAAGGTACCGGGGGAGGAGGAGGCGGCGGCGGCGGGGACCGGGGTGGGAAGCGGGGAGGAAGGCGGGGGGGGGGGGCGGTGACAGCTGACAGCGCCCGCCCGAAACTTTCCCTCCGGTAAAATGGCGCCGGGAGGGGGTAAACGGGGGGGAAGGGGGGGGGCATGGGGGAATGGGGGGGGTACCCCCCGTTTAGGGTGGGATTTGGTGCCGGTAAATCCCGTCTGGATCTGCCCCGGGGGGATCCGCTCGGTGCTGGCAGTGCCCCGGGGCTCCTGCCTTTGGGAGGCTCCTGCCCGGGCAGGGGTCGTACCGGGGGTGCGCTGGATCCCTGGGTCAGGCCCACGGCTTCCCTCGGGATCGGTGTGGGATGCAGAGCCAGGGAGCTCAGCTGGGATCCACTGGAGGGGGACCCCCTTGGTGGGGCAGGCAATGGGGGGTGCTGCTGTCTCTGCTAAAGGCAGGGCCAAGCCAGCTCCTTGCTGGGCAGAGCTCTGTGGGGATCCCCACTGGATCTCCCGTTGGATCTGCGTGGAGAAGGATCCCCTTGGTGCTGTCACTGCGCACCTGGATGCTGCCACCTTAGAGCTGGATGCTGGAGGGTGTCAGGTCTTCTCCTGGCTCCGTGGCTACCCCGCTGTGTCCATAGGGATCTCCCTATGGAGGGATCCACTGGCTCTCACCTCTGTGGAGCTCCAACCCAGCGGGATCCACTTGGGATCTACCCCATAGGCACCCAGTGAGCGGCCAGCAGGGTCCTGGCTCCCTCCCCATCCGGTTATCGGGATTCCCACGGGATCCATCCCACGGGATCCCCACTGACCCCCCCATCTCTCCCCTTTCCCCCCTCCAGGCTGCTCATCCCTGCGGCACTCGGGGGCTGCCGGCGGGGGCCGGGGGGTGGCTGGAGCCCGGTAGCCAGGAGGCGATGCTGCGGGTGCTGGACGCGGGGCTGGAGCGGTGCCTGGCGCTGCACTCCGCCTACATCCCGGTGCCGCGGCACAGGTAGGACCATGGCACCAATGGGATCGGTAACGGTGACCGGGAGCTTTCACACCGGCTGCAGGAGGACTTTGGTCACTGCCTGCAGCACAGGGGCTCTGGTTGGGACCGGCTGTGGGGAGAAGGATCCGGTGCCATACCTGAGCCCTGGAGCAGTTCTGGCTCTGGGACCAGCACCTGGGGCTCATTGGGCATCACTGCCCTCCAGTGCTGTGTTCACCCATCCCCATGGCACCAAAGGCTGCAAAATGGCCCCGGGGCTTTTTCTCTTTAATCCCATCTTTCATAGTTAGTTCCCACCTCAGGAAGTTGTTTGGCTGCGGCTCAGCACCAGGATTCAGGTGCTGGTGCCCTCTGGTGCAGTGGTACCCATGGGCACGGAGGGTTCCTCTGCTCTGATGTGGTGAACAGCAGTGATTTGGCTGCCTGTACCCGTGCCTGTACCACTGCCTGTACCACTGCCTGTATCCCTGCCTGTATCCCTGCCTGTACCACTGCCTGTACCACTACCCAATGGCATTCCCACTCAGGCCGTTGCGATGATGCCCAGCATCTCAGGGTGCTGCAGGGCACCCATGGGTCCCTTTGCTCATAGTGATGCTCCCATGACCCAGTGCCATCCATGTCCCCCTGCACTGGGCACTGGTGAGGCCGCAGCTCTGGGCCCCTCACTACAGCAGAGGCATTGAGTCAGGGCAAGGGGTCCCAGCACCTCGGTGGGTGATGGGGGGGGATGAAGGCTCCATCCTCACCTCAGCCCCTCTTTGCTGTCGCTGGCAGGAAGCTCTCGGGCAAGGCCGGCATCGACGAGGTGATGGCAGCCGCGGTGCTCACCAGCCTCTCCACCAGCCCCCTGGTGCTCGGGCACCCTCCGGCCGCCCCTGCACCCGGTAAGAGCATCCCCCCATGCCCCATCCCTGGACACACATCCCTGCGGCAGGTCCTGACCTTCCTCCTCCTCCTCCTCCCCACCAGAGCCCGGCGGTGAGGTCTGGAAGGAGGCCCCGGCCATGTCCTCCAGCTGCAGCAGCAGCAGCAACACCAGCGGGGACTGGAGCTGGGACCCGGCCAGCGACCGCTCCACCCCATCCACGCCGTCCCCTCCGCTCTCCAGCCACGTCCCCAGCACCTTCCTGCCCGCGCCCCTGCCCGACGAGGGCCCCGACGAGCCCGATGGCACCCACTTTGTGTTCGGAGAGCCCGTCCCGAGGAAGAGGAAGGTGGGGATGAGGGTGGGGAGGAAGAGGAGGATGCGGTTGGGGATGGGGATGATGGAGGGATGAGGGTGGAGAGGAAGAGGAGGATGTGGTTGGGGATGGGGATGATGGAGGGATGAGGGTGGGGATTATGAGGATGGGGAGGAAGAGGAGGATGCAGTTGGGGATGGGGATGATGGAGGGATGAGGGTGGAGAGGAAGAGGAGGATGCGGTTGGGGATGGGGATGATGGAGGGATGAGGGTGGGGAGGAAGAGGATGGGGAGGAAGAGGAGGATGCGGTTGGGGATGGGGATGATGGAAGGATGAGGATGAGGATTACGAAGATGGGGAGGAAGAGGAGGATGCGGTTGGAGATGGGGATGATGGAGGGATGAGGGTGGGGAGGAAGAGGATGGGAAGGAAGAGGAGGATGCGGTTGGGGATGGGGATGATGGAGGGATGAGGGTGGGCATTATGAGGATGGGGAGGAAGAGGAGGATGCGGTTGGGGATGATGGAAGGACGAGAGTGGAGAGGAAGAGGAGAATGCAGTTGGTGATGGGGATGATGGTGAGGATGAGGTTGGGATGACAGGATGTTGTTGGGGATGGGGATAACATTGCGGATGGTGGTGGAGTTGGGGCTGGGGATAATGATGGGGGTGAGTTTGGAGATGATGAGGACGGGGATGAAGAAGAGGATGCAGTTGGGGGTGGGGATGAGGCTGTGGATGACGGGGTTTGGGATGCGGCTGGGGTTGGGGATATCAATGGGGCTGACACTGGGGACGGGGCTGCCGTCCTGACGCCTCTCCCCTGCAGAACTCCACCAAGGTGATGTTCAAGTGCTTGTGGAAGAGCTGCGGCAAAGTCCTCAGCAGCTCCTCAGGGATGCAGAAGCACATCCGAACCGCGCACCTTGGGTGAGCGCATGGGGTCCGCCCTGGGTACCCCAAACCCCTCCCTAAGCCCCCCCCCTTCCCAACCATTCCCCTCTCCCCCCGCAGCCGTAAACCCGACCTGGAGCAGAGCGACGGCGAGGAGGATTTCTACTACACGGAGCTGGACGTGGACGTGGAGTCTCTGACGGACGGGCTCTCCAGCCTCACCCCGGTCTCCCCCACCTCCTCCGTGCCCCCCTCCTTCCCGGGCCCCGAGGCGCAGGGACCGGTGCCTGCGGTGCCGCTGCCGAGCCCGGACGTGGCGCTGGGCTCCCCCCGCAGCCCCCCGCAGCCCCCCGGCCTGTGCCACGTCCACACTGACCACGCGTACCAGGTGAGGAGGGGATGGGATGGGGGCACATGGGGCTGCCGTGACCCCATCGCCATCCCCCAGTGCTGACCCGCGGCCGGGTCCTCTCCCCGCAGGGCTGCCCCGTGTCCCCGCGGCCACCGGTGCCCCCCGCAGCGCCCGCCCCGCCGCCGCCCAAGCCGCCCGCTGTGCCCAGGTGAGCACCGGCATCACCGCCCCATCCCCTTTGTCCCCCCCCGTTGAAGCATCCCCAACCTGAGGACACTGGGGCTGTTTGGAGAAGGGAAGCTGCGTGGAGACCTCAGAGCAGCTTCCAGTGTCTGAAGGGGCCTATAGGGATGCTGGGGATGGACTCTTCATTAGGGACTGTAGTGACAGGACAAGGGGTAATGGGTTAAAACTGAAACAGGGGGAGTTTAGATTGGATCTAAGGAGGGAATTCTTTCCTGTGAGGGTGGTGAGGCACTGGAATGGGTGCCCAGGGAGGCTGTGAATGCTCCATCCCTGGCAGTGTTCAAGGCCAGGTTGGACGAAGCCTTGGGTGAGATGGTTTAGTGTGAGGGTCCCTGCCCATGGCAGGGGGGTCGGAACTGGATGATCTCCAGGTCCTTTCCACCCCTGACTATTCCATGGTTCTCTGAACCCCATAACATGAACCCCTGTGCCCCGCAGGAGGCCACGAGGGGAGGCCAAGAAGTGCCGCAAGGTGTACGGCATGGAGAACCGGGAGCTGTGGTGCACGGCGTGCCGCTGGAAGAAGGCTTGCCAGCGCTTCCTCGACTGAACCGGGGCCACGGGCCTGCAGCATCCCCTCCTTCTTGCACATTTTGCACTCGAGGTGCCTTCGCGCCCCCCCCCCCACCCCAAAAACGCCACCCCGGGGTCCCCCCGGACTCAGGGAACGGCCCCCCCCCTCCCTCCCCAAAAGCTTTATGCACACGGAGCTTGTCCCCCCATTGTTCCTTTGGAAGATAAGCTAAACGTGCCCCCCCTCCCTATGCCAGCACTGCAGTGGGGGGGGGGCTTCCGGCTGCTTTTGGGGACCCCCCCATCCGGGGGGCTGCCCATGGCTCGGATAAGCTGTGCCTGCACCCATGGAGGGGGGCTCGGTAAAGGATGAAGTGGGGGGGTGCCTGTTGCCTGTTCCTGCTCCCCAGGGGGGCATCCCCAGTGCCCGGGGCAGAGGTGGGCGCCTGCTCCCCCCTTTTCCCCCGACTTTGCCCCCCCCAAAGGGGTTTTTACTCTTTGCATCCCCGTTTCTCTCCCGTTGGTCGGGGGGAGCCGGGGCGATGCTCCGGGAAGTGCCTGCAGGAACGCGCCCATTTGCACTAAGCCAAACTGCACAAAGAGGTGGCTTTTTATTGGGATTCCCCCCCCTTCCGCCCCCCCCACCCCCGTTTTTATTTTTTTTCCTCTCATTTTTATTAATTTTGGGTGGTTTTTTTTTTCCTTTTCGTGTGTTTTTATTTTTTAAATAAAATATATGAGAATTCGTATTTTTAAAGAACTCCCTCCCAGGGCAGTGCCTGCAAACCCAAACCTGGGGGGGTTTTAAGGGCCTTTATTCCCTTCAAACCCCATTCCCGCCCCCCCCACACATCCCAAACCCCTTTTTATCCCCCGCCCACCCCAAACCCCCTTTTCTCCCCTCTCATTCCCATCACATTCACAGGTTCAGGGCTGGGTTTGTCCCAGCCCCTTCCCTGTGCAAGGATGGGTGGGATGAGGATGGGGATGGGGATGGGGATGGGGATGGGTGTGCAGCCAGCCCAGGGCACGTCCCCATTGCATTGGGACCCCCCTATTGCAGGGTGTCCCCATTGCAAGGGGGGGTTCAGACCACATCAGCCCTATGGGTTGGTGCTGTGCCAGGCTGGGCCCCCCTCCTTGGGGTTGGGATGTGTCAGATCCCGAAGGAAAACAGCAAAATAAATGTTTGGATTCTTTTTTAAGGATTCTTCTTCCTGATTGCTGGGGGTGAGGGGCTCCTGAGAGGGGCTCTGCAGGGGGGGGAGAGGGGGGCATAGAATGATCCCAGCATCAAAGGGGGGTACGGGGTGGAAGGGACCACGAAGCACATCCACTTCCACGCTCATCCAACCCTTCCACTAGAGCAGCTTGCTCCCAAGCCTGGCCCCTGGGGCAGGTTCAAGCCATTCCCCTTGGCCTGTCCCTATATCCCTTATATCCCAAAGCCCCTCTCCAGGTTTCCTGCAGCCCCTTTAGGCACTGGAGCTGCTCTAAGGTCTCCCCTTCAGGAGCCTGCCCCAGCCCAGCTCTCCCAGCCTGGCTCCAGAGCAGAGCTGCTCCATGGCTTCCTATGGCCACAGGGCACAGGAAAGAGCCAGGCCAATGAACACCCCCCCCAGCCCCAAACAACCCCAGGGTGCTCATCCCTACCCGTGGGTGCTGCCCCTGCCTGCACCCCCATCACCCCAACCATCCCCACGATGAGGAGGGAAGGTACCACCATAGAGCAACAAACCCCAAACCCAAGGCGGGAGTGTAGCAGCAGTATCCCGATTTATTGAAACGGAGTGATTCCTGCAAGGATGCCTAAAGCTAAACCCCATCACAAACGGGATTCCTGCCGACAGGAACGCTCCGGCATAGCCCAGGCGGCCGGGAACCCGGATTGCAGCTAGAAAAGAAGGTCGGGATTGACCTGAACTACAGTTACAGAGCATCAGAACAACACAGCCACGGCCTCCCACCGGAGCTCCTGCATACCCCAAACCTCCTCCTGCACCTCCCCAGGATATGAATCACATCTTCAATACAAACACAGGTTGATAATAATTAATATAAAGTCAGTGTAATATAGAATATTCCCAGCCAAAAATAATAATAATAATAATAATTAATAATCATCATCAATCTTCAAACTCTGTCCTGGGTTTTTTTTTTCTTGTTTCCTTTCTTTTGAGCTTTATTTTCTAGACAGGTTTAAAGCACGTTGCAAAATAAATACCTCTATCTGAGAGCATACACACAGCACTCTTGACTAGGCAGGACTACAGGGGAAACCAAAGGCAGGGATTCCAACTGAGAGAGAACATAGGGCATAGCGACCCGTGGAGTATGGCTTCTGCAGGAGCTGCTGTGGCCCAAGAGGAGCTCAACTGAGGATTCATTCTCTCTCATATTGCAAAGGATTCCAGTTTTTGCATGGAGTTTTAGGGAGTTTCTTTGCTCAAGGGGGAAGGGTTGAAGTGGGGGGGGAGATGAACCCCAAAACCCCACCAGGACGTGGCTTTAGCAGTGGGGAAGAGGAGTATTTAAAGGTGGGAGAACTAAAGCAGGACCCAAGGATGGAGAGGGTTTCCTTGTGCATGGGAAAGATTCCTTCTGTACCCCAAACCAGAGGGTTTTGATGGCAGGAGAAGGGAGAAAGGCAATAGAAGAGAGAGGGATGGGGATGGTCACTTTGCAGCCCTGCACTGATCCATCCCACCAGAGCTGCTGGGCTTTGGGGTGACCTTAAAATAGACCTGAAAATGGGTTATTTGTGACTCTGAAATACATTGGGGAACAAAATGTACCAGGGGAACGGCTTTAAGGTCCCTTGGACACAAACCAGTCCAGTCCAAGCAAGCCCCTCCACTTGTTCTCCTTGCACGACCACCACCAAACCCAATGGCCCCAGCGCCTTCCTCGTGGGGTTTTGGTGGGGCTGGGGCAGGAGGGTGTCATTCACACCCTGTTGTGTGTGGAAGGGTGGTGAAGTGTGTGGTTGTACTCTCAGATTAGAAACCAAATGAGGATGGTGGAGGAAATCCAGGGAGGAACATCGAGGCTATGTACAAATAGGTCCAAAACCCCCTCAGATGCGGGTTATTGATACCCAAGCATCTCAACTGCTTTACCTGGGAAGGGGAATTGTTCCTTTTGAAACTCAACCTGTAAAGTTCTATACACACACATCAACAGAGTTAGAAAAGCCTAAAAAAAGGGCAACCTCCATGAAGTATACAAAGCCCTGAAGGGAAATACAAAGAGCCAGAGGTATGGCTCTGTATGGAGCTAGTGTTGGCTACAACAGGCAGAGCTGCTTTCTCCAAGGGCAGAAGACGTTTGCATAGGCAGTAGATCCCGAGAGGAGCCACGTGGAACAAGGGGTGAAGTTTTATCAAGTTCCAGCATTAAAAAAAGGAAGGGGAAAAGCCCAAATTCCCTGGGTTTGAGCCCAATAGAGCGTGGCCGGTTCTGCGCTTCCATAGCAGCCACCTCCATCAAACCAGAGCACTTCAGACAGACATAGCGTGGTAGATGGGTTGGTGCATGCAGTGTATGTCAGTCATACAGAGCATCGTGGTGACATGGTCAAAGTCAGCTTTTAGAGTGGGTTTTCTGGTTTTCTCTCTGTTTTGATGTATTTTTTGCATCACCAGCTCAAAGAGGATGCCATCTCCCAAGGGGCAGCGCTGGGAAACGCTTCCCAAGCCCCTTGGTTTACTGCCCACCCTTTAAATAACACAAAGGGAAGAGAATCAAAGTCTCTCCAAAGGAATCCTAAAGTGAAGTGCTCCAGAGTTCTGCTGACAAAACCCACGGGTGAGGAAGAGGAAGGCTCAGGCCAACATCTGCTCCTCCTCATAGGGTATGCCAGCAGATCCACACCCCAGAGTGGGAGGAGATGGCTGAGATGGGATGTCACAGAAACCAAAGGGGATCTGAATGGTTTGGGGGTTCAAATGGGATGTTTCAATAGATCTGTACACAGGAAGAGCAATGCTACAGCTATCTGTGAAGCACTGTATGTATTTGTCTATGTGTTACAGGTAAGGCTGCGAGTTCAGGACCTCAGAGACCCCCCGTATTTACAGGATAAATGCCAATAAATACAGAGCCCACACGATGAGAGGCCGAAGTCAGGGGGAGGAACCAGCAACCTCGCTCTGGGACCCCCCCAGCCGCTGGAAAAGCAGCATCCAGGGGTCCAGTCGTCACGTTCTGGGGTGTTTATGTCCCTTTAGCTATGGGAGGAGGGATCTGCAAGAAGCTAAAATGGAAAATGAGGGGTTTAACTGCTTAATAAAGAGGTTTAAGCATGACCCTTCTGCTCTGTGAGTGCTTAAAGAGGAGGGTGATCCCTTCTCCCTGCCCTAAAGCAACAAGTCCCACTTAACCCCTTCAATCCTAAGGAGCAGCAGCAGCACACGGTGCTCATGTGGCCTCAGGGAGCCCAACAGAGGATTCCAGGGAAGGCCTGTGCACCCAAAGCAACAGCTCAGGAGCTGCTGGAGACTCCCATAAAGGGAATTCCACAAGGAACTGAGGAGCAGAGGGAGGAATAAATGGCCCAAACCCAGGATGTGCCTGCAATCAGGGAGTGAAAAAGAACCAGTTACTGCAGGTGCCAGGACTGAGGCTCCCAGCACGCTCCATCAAATCCTGGCACTGCGTGGCTCCAGTCCTTCAAGAGTATTAGCTTTACCTGGGGTTTCTTGTACAAGACACTGGGTATTTCCATCACTGGATGGAACCAGGCTTTTCACCATGGACCACCAGACCTGCAAGCACATTCTCCATCCCACTGGGATCACCTGTCCCACCACGGGGGGGGGAAATAGCACCGTTAAAAGTCATTTGGCTTTCTGGTAACGGGTTGTCTTCAGTGCCAGAACCGGTGTCACAGGCAGGGCATAGAACTGCTCCGTGGCAAGGGAAGAGTGAGGTCGTCAGCTTTGTCAGCTCAAAAAGCACCAGAAGCAAAGAGGCGAAGGGCAAAACCCAGCTTCTGCTCAGGAGTGAGACACTTCCAAGGCGCTTTGCTGCTGTCAGTTAGGTGGAGCTGGGAGAAGGCAACAGAGGATGGAATGAACAAGGAGAATCCAACCACCTGGAGCAGTCCCAGGGTCTCTTTGGAGATGCTGGGAGAGAAACCTGGCTCTTAGGTAAAATAGATCGGGTTTATTTGGAGCTTCACACAGAACCAGCACAGCTGAAGCTGGAGGGGTTGACATGGAGCCAGTAGGAGGCCTGCCTAC